CCTCCTCTTCCATATTAACACCTGGGGTCAGCATTTTTGCCTATATCCATATATATATATATATATATATATGAGAAGATAAGGCGATCGCAGGAACCATAGGTATATTTGCCTGACGTTTCGAAAGCAAACAAGCTTCCATCATCGGAGGTGGTTTGCGTACTGCACGTCACAGTATTTTTGGGTTTTTGTTCTTCGTGCTGGCGTGTCACTGACTGCCAGCGCGCTGCATCTCAAGGCTTGGCGATTTGTTGTCATGGCGGCAACGGTTCCTCCTCATTCTTTGTCGGGTGTGAGAAGGGGAGCGGCATCAGGGCGACCGCGGCCATTGCTCTTGTTTGCATTGTCCGTTGTCTGCCCTCCGCGCATCTCGCCTTCCTGCCCTGTTCGCACATGTCCGTACTAGTGTGGACGGTGGTTACCATGCTAGTGTTGACGTCGGGCTGGGGGTGCCTGTCACTGTCGTGGGTTCCCGCCTCGCTGGCCCGTTCATACCTGTCCGTAACTGTGTTGATGGTGGTTGTCATGCTGGTGTTGACGTCGGGTTGGGGGGTCCTGTCACTGTCTGGCGCTCTCCCCAGGGGTTGGCGTCTGTCTGTGTTCGGACCCAGAAGGCGGTCTCCTAGGTTTGTGTTCGTCGCCGGTTGTCCTCTGGTTTCGTCGGTTCCCGACTCCTGTCTATGCCCGTCTGTGTTCCCGCTGGGTTTGGGTTCGACTGCTGCCGTCTCTGGCCTGACGCCTCGTCGGTGGCCCTGCTTATTGAATTTCGCCCGTAAGGCTTGATAGGCGGCCGGCAAAGTTACGCAGCGGTTAATCGAGGTAGTTGTGGTGTGCCAGGCTTCGAGCGTCTCCCTGACCGTTTGATCGCTCCCTTGGCCCAAGACTTCGGCGTCTTGGAAGGCGAAGGCATATATACATATATATATCGATATGCGTAAAGATTCGAGGTCCAGACATTGTATCGCGTTCATCATCTCCCGAAGAAGACGAAGAAGAAGAGAGGGCGAATTCATGGACCATATTGTATTCGAACTGACGTTTCGGAAACTTCCTCGTTTCCATCATCAGAGTAGCGTAATTGTTGCACTTGCCGGTCTTGAGTTGTTCACTCTTGCCGCTTGCCTCGTATTATAGCCGTGCTCGACGCACGAACTTTGACCTGCCTGTTTGCCACTGACTGGCTTAGACCTCCCAGGGGCTGACCGCTGACAGGCCTGCGTGACCTTTGGGGTCGGCGTAATTGTGGTCAAATCAACGTGCCGCTTAGCCTCTCCCACGTCAGCCGGTGGACTGATCGGTCGTTGCTGTTCAGGTGAGCAGCATTCAGCCTCGCGGGCGTATCGGTGAGACAGTGTTCGGCTTTGGTCACATGACCTCTGGCCCCCAACTCTGCTCTTTTCCGTGAGCGTTGACTCTCGGTCCCGCGTGCTCGCTTGCCTTACTGGTCCTGTTCGGACTGATCCGAGCCATGTACGAAGCGCCTGGTAGGCGGGATGTAGATCTATAGCTCGGTTGAGTGTACCAGTCGAGGACCAACTTTCGAGCACCAGTCTGGCCATCTTCTCATTGGCTCGACCAATTGCCCTCGCTTTCTCAAAGGCAAAATTGTGGTTCAGTTCTCGTATGTGGCCATAGACCAAAGACAGCTTGTCCTTGCGATTGATTGCAAGTTGGTGTTCGTGCAATCTTGTACCGAGGCGTTTGCCCGTTTCACCAACATACCTTGCATTGCAATTTAGGCATGGTATGCTGTAGACCACCGCCGACTGTTCTGTTGTTGGTAGCGGGTCTTTGGGCTTCATGATTTGCTGTCTGATGGTGCATTCTGGTTTATGAGCCACGCCAATCCCAAAAGGTCTCAGGATTCTTGCCGTTGCCTCTGATACGTTCTTCACATAGGGTATTGAGAGCCAGAACTTGGGCTTTTCTCCACTCGACCGCTCAAAATGAGGCTGTTTGAGGCAATTGCGTGTGAAGGACTTCGGGTAGCCATTGGCTTTGAAAAGGGCGTGTAAGTAATTCATCTCCTCCTTCCTCCCACTGTCGTCGCTACAGTGTGTTTGAACACGTTGAAAGAGACTTCTGACACAACTGCGTTTATGACCAACAGGGTGGTTGCTTCGGAAGTGGAGGATGCGCCTGATATTTGTTGCCTTACGGTAAACCGTTGTCCTTATCTTCCCGTCTGTCAATCTCGTAACTTGTACGTCCAGGAAGGGCAACTGATTGTTGACTTCCTCTTCCATAGTAAACTGAATATCGGTAAAGTTGGAGTTCAACAATGCCTTGAAAGCCTTCACCTCGCTCCTCTTGATTACAACGAACGTGTCGTCGACGTATCTGGCCCAGAACTTCGGGGGGTACGAGCTGAAGACCTGCTGCTCGAGTCTCTGCAAAACTGCTTCGGCAATTAGTCCAGACAGAGGCGAGCCCATCGGTGTCCCCTTCTTTTGCTCGTAGACTTGGCCGTTGAATGTAAAGAAGGTCTTAAGACACAGTTCTAGGAGCTCGATGATGTGTGCTCGTTTGAGCTGTTGGTCGGTTTCATCATACTTTTCCCGGAGAAAGCCATCAATAGTGTCAATAGCCAGCGCGGGTGGGATGGAGGTGAATAATAAGATCACGTCAAATGACACCATCACCTCATCTGCCTCCACTTCGAGATGTTTGATGCGCGTCAAGAACTCTTCAGCTGACTTCACTGTCCACTGCGAATCCTTGGTAAGGAAACGAAGTCGCTGGTACAGCCACTTTGACAGCCCAAAGGTTGGAGTACCACGTAAGGAGACGATGGGGCGTAGCGGTACCCCCTGCTTGTGGACCTTTGGTAGGCCGTAGAAGCGCGCCATTGCGGTATCACTGGCTTTTGCGGCCAACGCCTCCCTTCTCGTAAGAGCTCCCGCCTTCCTCAGCTTGCCGATCGTATTGTTTATGCTGTTTACGAGCTTTTTAAACTCGCTGACGGTCGATGGCACATAAGCTTCCTTGTCCATCAAGAGGTTGCCTAGTTTTGTGCAGTACTCAGCCTTATCCATGACGACAGTCGAGCGCCCCTTGTCGGCGGGCAGGGTGACGATATCCTTCCTTTTTCGTATCTTCAGAAGTTCTCGATCTTCTGCTTTAGAAATCGTCATCTGGCGTTTGTGTTGGAGGAGTAAGGTCGACACTTGTTGTCGCATGGCGTTTTTGCACTCCTCGTCTGCCTCACACTTCTGGAGCGCCGATTCAAAGGATGCAATAAAGTCTTCTGGTTGAGCATCTCTTGTGCTGAACTTCGCGTCATAGGATAGAACCGCTAGTTGTTGCTGAGTGAAACGATGAGAGGACAAGTTGTGAACCAAGGCACCGTCAGTAGAGGGCTGCTTTGACCGACTTATTTTCTCAAATTTTCCAGACAACTGGTCATCACGCAACTTGCGGTGACGCCGTTCGCTGTCGAGAATTGCCGCTTTGAGGACCTCTAGCTCGTGTGCCGTAAAGATCGACTGGCAAGTTGACGAATGATGTTCAATCATCTGGCGGTACTTGTGGATGCGGGCGTGGCAGTCTCGTATCAGTACCCTGATCATTTTCTTCTTGAAGTCTGCCATCGTCCGTCGGCAAAGGTCAGTGTTCACAGGCGGTCTATATCTGAGGCATTTCGGTAGGACGTCGGTGGGAATCCTTCTCCTGTCGACAAGCTTCAACGTACGCTCAACTGAGGTTCCTGCACAGGTGCCTAAACTCAAACACTCTGCCGAGATGCCTCTCGTATAAATCGCCCCTCAACACCGAGCTAGGTAGGCGAACAGTCTTACAACACGGACGCAGAATGATTCGGGTTTTAATCCAGGATTGTCACCTCCGACTACGCAAGTACAAAGCAGCAATTGAGGATGAACAAGCGAAGTGCTCAAGGATCCTTGGAGAACCGCTGACAAATGATCTTCATCGCAGCATTTCTCTCAGTGCCAGGCGCATTCGCGATGCACGTGAATCCAAACTGAAGCAGAAGTTGACCACACTGAGCGAAAAGAATGCCAGCCTCTGCTATGATAATGTTGTGCACAACCTATCTTCCAAACAACTGACAGCAGAGCAGATAAAAGTCCTGAGCCATGATGCCTGCTTCAATACGACGGATGCCCAACCTGTTGACTTCATCGCAGCTGCGGAATCTGTCATTCGTGAAGCTCCAATCACTGAGGAAAACAGAAATCTGCTACGGCAACGAATATCCTCCAGACTCATGTCCCACAAGAAACGCAATATGCTCTCGAAAGCAGAAAACGAAGCACTTCGGACTCTGAAGGCCGACAAAAGCATTGTCATACTCCCGGCCGATAAAGGACGATCGACGGTCGTACTGAACAAGGAGGACTACGTCAACAAAGTCGAGGCCCTTTTGGGCGATAGAACCGCCTACATTCCTTGTGAAGGGGATATGACGAAGACTCTAATGAGCAAAATCAACAAGGACCTGGCAAGTCTTCGGAAGTCAAAAGCGATTACACGGCTTGACTGGCAGAGGATGAAACCAAAGGATTCCGCGATCGCGAGATTCTATGGTCTACCCAAGGTCCACAAACCAGAAACCCCCCTACGACCGATCGTTTCTCTAAGAGGCACACCAACGTTTGGCCTGGCTAAGTGGCTGTTCCAGCGTCTGAAATTCCTAACCCAAGGTTCTGAAACTACCATCCACTCAGCAGAACTATTCCTTGAGAAACTGCAAGGTATTCAACTTACAGATGACGAAGTGATTGTATCTTTCGACGTGGTATCACTCTTCACTTCCATCCCACAACATCTCGCGGTTGAAACTGTGCAAACCTTGTTAGAGCAACGTTATAACGAGACGGACAACAAACTTAAGAGAAAACACCTTGTCGATCTCCTGAAACACTGCTTGAAGACCTTCTTCACCTTCAATGGAGCCACGTACGAACAAGTTAAAGGCACACCGATGGGGTCGCCGTTATCCAGCTTGATTGCTGAGGCAGTGTTACAGCGACTGGAGGCACTGGCTTTTGACCACTACCGACCACGATTGTGGGTACGGTATGTTGATGACACATTTGTCATCATCAATCGGGACAGGATTGGGGAATTCACGCAATATCTGAACTCGATCTTCCCAGATATCCAGTTCACGATGGAGGAGGAAAAAGATTGCCAGTTGCCGTTCCTCGACGTACTAGTCCAGAGAAAAGGCGATGGGGGACTAAAAACAACAGTTTACCGAAAGGCGACAAATACCTCTCGTATTCTGAGTTTTTCAGCAACCACCCCCTTTCGCACAAACGCAGCTGCGTAAGAACACTCTACCGGCGGGTAGAAACCCATTGCACAGAGCCAGCCGACAAGAAGGCCGAGGCTCAGTTCCTGAAGAAACTCTTCACCATGAACGGCTACCCTGGGAATTTCGTCGAAAAGTGCAGACGAGAAACACGGGGAAGAAGATCGAAGGGGCAGCCGAAACCGAAGTGCTGGCGCGCAGTCCCGTACGTAGCTGGTTTGTCAGAAGAATTCGCCAGACTGGTGAGCGAATTTGGGATCGGCGTCGCGCACAGACCTGAAGCCACAATCCGCCGTCAACTCATGCAGCCCAAGGATCCGATTCCCATAAATCAGAAATCGGGGGTCGTCTACCGCATAGACTGCAATTGCGGTCAGGCCAGTTATGTTGGTGAAACCGGAAAACAGGTCCGCACGAGATTGCATGAGCATGAATTGGCCGTGAGACGGAAGGATAAACTCTCTTTGGTAGCCGCCCACGCCTCCTCGCCAGGACACGCCTTTGACTTTGGGAGCGTGAGAATACTAGGACAGTCAGACAACCGAGTTGCGCGCCTGCTGCAGGAAGCGTGGCACTCAACTGAGGACGCGATTAACCGACATATCGATCTACCAATCGCCTATCAAGCACTGCGTGAACAAATCAACGGCGCAGCTAGAGGTCACCCCCGGCAGAGGTGAGCTAAATACACGACGAGCTGTACAGTTTTTTCATTCCTTGACGATGGGCTCGCGTGAGAGTTCGAAACGTCGGATAAATAAACCATTGGTCCCAGCGATCGCCTTCCCGTCTTCTTCTATGCAATTACCTGGGCCGCGCGTATTCTCTATCATTCGGAATATATATATATATATACACATAAATTTTCATATGCGTGAGTGAACATTCGAGGTTCACATATATAATCATGTTTATTATCATAATTGGAGGATATCGATGGGACCATAATCCGCCCACTGTCAACGGGCAGTCCAGTGTACGACTTTTGAGCACTGGTATAATGTGAAGTAAGCGGCAAGACTGAACAAATCAAGGCTAGCGGGAAGAGCCAGCATACTTCTATGATTATGCAGACGAGATAGGTTCGGAAGCGCCAAGATATATGCACGTGGTCCATGCAATCGCGTCTTCTCTTTTGTCTTTTCAGTGGGATGATATAGCCGTGTACGTATGTTAGGGGCCATGCGCCTACTTACCAAGTATGAAAAAAAACCAAAAAGAAAATGAGAGCCCAGGATAGAGCTTTGTGTCTTATTCGCTATCGTCAGCCAAGCAAACCCATTCCAAGTTCTGGAGGGCCTGGATTCGAACCCGAATTCTTCCTTTCCTTGAGCGTTGTGCTACTGGGTCTTGGGCCCGGCTTCAAGTACCGGCTTGGGCAAACCTAGGGCTGAGTATAGCTGACTGATGACGGCAGTGAGACAGAAATATCCATCTCAGTCTCCTTTGTCTTCTCGTCGGCAATCCGTACCACATATACATATATGTGTGGAGGAGAAGCAAGTTGTTCTCATGAATGTTTGAGTCCCCCGCACCAGGGTTGTTCAAATGTCATTATCTAGGATGTTAGGACGATGAAGCAGACTGGAATTTTATAGAAACTTTAATATATTTTCCGCCCTATCAGCGATAGAAGCATGGCAACAACAATTGTCAACCCTCCGAAATGGAGTCTAACACCCGCTAAAGTAAGCCACCTATACGAACGAATATGATTCAGTCATACTAATGTTGTATTTACAAACTTTCCGGTCAGTCTTTAACCCCTTCTGTTTGTCTTTGCCTTCCATGAGCAGACGTACGTAGCCATGTCACTTGGTCTCATTTGGTAAAAGAGTCATCAGGAATCCTTATCAACCAAAAAAATGAACGGAGATGGAATTTTCTGAAGTCAGACGGAAATATGACAGTTGTATCTACAGACAAATGTGGCACAACTATCATAGTGGATGAGACTGACCAAATCAGCACCGCAAGTCAAGTTTTCGAAAACAGGGATGGGCTGAGAACTTAGCGAAAAACCAGGCCGTAATCATAAAGAAGCAGTTGGATGAGATCGCTTAACTGAAACATATACAACCCGATGACTTCATGCTTATAACCCTTGTTGACACGCGTATAACTTTCTTAAGATGCACAAAGCAGATGCATGTAGGAGATCCAAGTGCCTACCTACACTTTTAAACAGTTTTGCCAAGTAACTTCGCAGGCACCTAAAGCGCCCAAATGATGGACATCAACGCTGAATCAAAGATCCTGGAACATTTTTTGATGAATGATTTCTACGGTTTGACCGTGTTGCCTTGTTTTCCTCAGTGTCAGGTGACCTGATAAATGAAAGCGCTGCTCGATGGGTACAGGATAATCCTCCTGGACATCCGAAGCAGCACATTTTATACATGCTTGGGCTCTGGCATTATCAGCAGGTTAAAGGCTCTACAATACGATGGCCAACGCAGTTGTAGGAGTGGTCTTACGAGGGCTAAAATGGGATGTTATTTGAACTCTCAGACGGGGCTTCACTGCGTGGAAGACACCTTTTTGCCATAAACAACTGCGAATTCAAAAAAAGCTGCACCAAAGTTAGAATGGTGTCCTTCCAGCTATAGAATTTACTAGCAAATAAGCATCAGGAGGCAACTTACCGTTTCTACACGAGAATATTCAAAGGCTGAGCGATATTAGTCACACAACATCTGTCCATAAAAAATAAGCTAATGCCGGGATCATATACAAATACGAAAGTACGCATTTCTGCGGCCCACAAAAGAAACTGCGTCCAAGCGTTTTTCTACCGATCTTACTTTACTGCAACAGCGAAGGCTTGCTCAGGAAAAAATTGATCTACTTATTTCTCTTACGCGAAAGGTTTTGTGAAAAACCGTCTGAGACGCCACAGACAACCACGAGACCCCAGCTGAAATGAGGAAACCCTGTCGCAGCAACTCCTTCCTCTCCACTAGAAGCAATGAATTTCGTAATTCGTCCACCGACCGTTAAATCGGTTCGGCATCTGTGTCGGCCACAACTCGGCGTCCTTCGTGCGCGCATCACTATTTTAAGCGAGGGACCTCCTGCTTAAAATGCAAAAAATAATGCCCTTTGCCGCATTTCATGTGCAAATTGTCCCCGCGTCTACGTCGGTCATAGGGGCGGACAAAATCAACTTATTTGTCGGCGTGCCCCCTCGTCTGTTGTCCTTGCGCACGCTGTAGCACATGACCACCGTTTCAATTCGGATGGTACTGAAGAGATCGCCATGATAAACACAAAACAGGCGCCATTTCCGCATGGCGCAGTGCAGACCACTGC